TAGAGGCTTTCATACAGCAGGCGACATGTTAACTATGGTTTGTATTACAACTTTTAAAAAATAGTTCATAACGTAAAAATACGGGTGCAGTTTGCAATTAGTATGAATTCAAACTAAAATTCCAAAATAAAACAATAATAAAAATAAAAGAAATCAATAAAAGTCTGGAAACATTATTCATTCATGATTGAAAAGCCTTTAGTTGGTAATTCACCGCAAACTTATCTTTGATAAATGGAGAATTTTAGCACTTAATTGTTTGAATGACACAATGATCCCGATTCAAAAGTTCCTGTGGAATCAATTTTATGGTAAATGTCACATTCATGTACATAGATGCTCAAAGTTTTTAATTTAATATACAGTAAAATAATAATAGAGCTATCCAGTGGTTACAACAGAACAGCAAATGAAAATGTTTTCACAAATGCATTCATTTCAATCTGTAATTGATGTCATAAAGTTTGTTAGTGAAATTGCTAACATATTGTCCTGCTTGGCAACATAGAATTTTTGTTTCGTTTAATGTTGTATATTTCCCGTAAGTTTGGTTAACTGATAATAACAATTTGCTTGACTAAATTTGAAAGTTAAACAAAACAAAAAATATATGTTGCCTGTAACTCGTAAGTTCAGTCAACTGTTAATTAAAGTTCAAGTTACTAAACGTGAACGTTTAACAAAAATAAAAATATAGGTTGCTCCTAACTCAAAGTTCTGTAAACTGTTAATTGAACATTTAGTTATAATCTGGGCATGGTTTCGCAAAAGTGACATGGTTTCTAAAATATGGGCGTGGTAATTTCGTAATTTCATGTTCGTAAGTCGATATCTGTAACTCGAACAATTCAGCATCTCGCGTGGTATACAGACTGGAATATCTAATTTCTGAAATCTTCGAAAATTTTGAACACATAACAGAGGAAGCAATTTTTACCTGACACAACTTTTCCATAAAACCTCCCGGCTTTCTTCAATGGTAACGGCGGTTTGGAATCACCACTCTTTATTTTATCAGGCAGTTCATTTTCAACTTCACAATCATGTTTCATTGCTTCAATGCTCCTGCGATGCAATTCTGGACTTTGGTTACCGCATTTTTCACATAGATAAAGAAGCATGGGTTTCTCGACCATCAGTCCTCCACAGGCACACACGTCTGTTGCATGCCATTCATCACTTGTCTCATTTACTTCAATGTTCTCTTCATTATCTCGCGGTTCCACGTGATGGCTTGGAATATCACTTGGCTGGATATACTCCTGATGTAAATCAACACTGACAGGCGTTTTCACCAATGTAGTGCTGTCACTATTGCTGATAGCTTCAGAGGGGCAGATGGTCAAAGAACCAGGCTTTCCTTCATTTCGAGTTCGCACTTTAACAAGAACGTGTGTATCCGAAAACCTACAGGTTGGCACCACACTGATGCTCTGAGTATCAGTTTCAGATAACAAGACTTCAACCGGCACTTCCGAATTTACATAAGGAATAGCTTGCAAGTAAGACTTCTTTCTCGGCATCTACTGAAAATATTATCAAAATTTTAATTACGAATAATTTGAGAAAATAGATAATAATAGACACACACAGCCAAAAACTATAGCAAGACAAAATATGCCAAAGATGTAATGACAATTTAATTGAAGATGTAGAACACTTTATTGACTTGTCAGAACATAAAACTGAAAGAAAAACATTCAAAATTTCATCAAAGATGAAAGACAGTAAAACATTATTATGAAATTAGCCGACTATATATGTACAACAGAGAGGCTATCAAACTAATATTTTATATTTATTTACATACACTTACTCTTTTTTTTTAATTATCACATTATACATAATACAATCATGAAATTCAGTGTGATATCAACTGATACAGGGGTTTTTCTAGAAAAAATG